ATCTTTGGTTTTGCCCACACAAGCCCTAAAAGTAGAAAACATGATGCAACATGCTAGAAACTCCTGATCATATCCATCTACCCACTGAGAACACATCGTTTGCATCTGCTGAAACTGTTCCAGACTTGGACAAAATGAAAACACTAAATCAGTAAGTATACTAGCATTTATTAATATAAGAAAAACTTCAAAAATTAAGATCTTCCACTTCATATCCTAAGATCCACGGAGATCCCAGATCAAACTTTCAAGGCAATGGAAAGTCAGTGTAACAGTAATCACTCATCACCTTTGAAAATAAGTCCTTAAGTTTGTTTCAAACTGTGTATAAAGAACATGGTGTTCAACTCAGAGGAAGTCTCTATTTTCTTCATTTAATATAGCAAGGAATGACACTTTCAACAGTTTTCAGTTGGTGGCATTTGAAGTATGGCCTTTTGATTTTTCTTCACATACCTTCTAAAGACCCAGAATTCCTAGGTGAGCACATCAGTCTTTTCTTCTTAATTAAAGTCCCTCTTCTTCAAATGCCTTTCCATCTTTCTCTAGTATAACATTGAGCTCTTCAAGTTTCTCACACACTATTATCTGCAGAAATTTCTTTGTCCTCAGTTACAGAACCTCATTCATCTCCCTTCAAAAGTTTTTAGGCTTTTGTGATGCCAAATAGCAGACAGGAGCTTCCAGAAGGTGTTCACTTGTTGTTCATTTTGCTCATTTTAAACCTAACTGCCTCTGTGTGCGATTCTGTCCAAACCTAGACAGATATTTGCAAGTTAACTAGCTGCCTTTGGTATCACAATGTTAATTATAAAATAAAACAAGCTTACAATTATAATATAAATGTCTGAAGTATGGAAGAAATGTCCCTGAAAAGTAACTATTTACCTCCACCGAGTCTAGAGCAAGATCAGGTACACAAAGCTGTTGCCTCCACACCCGTACTGCAAACATCTAAGGTTAGGAAAGATTAATTCTCCTCCAACCGCCACATTCTTGGTCCAATAACTAGCATCAGCAGGCAGGTATCTGCAGAGATATTTCCATATAACAGAGCACGTTAGGTTGTCTGACTAAAAGCTAAGCAAACTAAACACAAAGCCATGGCAAGGACCAGAACAATCAATGAAAACAGGGCACACTGACTCACTAGGCCTAAAACTGATGAAGGGGAATAATTTAGATCATTGTTCCTGGTGCAAAACCCACTAAACAAGAAACACTAGAATAAACTGTACAAACCAAGGGACTACCTAAAGGGATGTAAGACTTCTTACAGGATACAGGAAGATGAAAATTTAGGGACAGAACAGAGAGTATTTGAGGACTGTGTAAAATTTATTATAGGATTATTTTTGTTCTACGGGATTGCAGCAACATGCGAAACTTATTCTGAGATGTTTAAGGGAAGCACCAAAGGTGTACAGAGGGACTAAGGTAGACTGGGGAGAAAGAAGCATGGAAAAACCAAGGACAAAGAGGATAAAGGGGCCAGTGGCATGTAGGCAGCTTACCGATTACGCTTCAGTGCACGAGCCCTGCACTTCACCACCGCAGCCCGCCCGATATTCTTATCACAGCCTCTTTCTAACTGGTCTCGTGTGCATGCATGCGCCAATGCTAGCAAACTACAAGTGGGACTAGCCCATGAGTGGGACAACAGGAAGAAGTATGAGCCACTGGAGTGGGACCACGTGTTTGAGGGACTTACGGCTCTATGGGGCAGCAACTGGGGGAGAAAGGGGCTGGATGCCAGTTGCTGCATGAACTGTCTCACAGCAGCTACCAGAGACCCATACTGCAGGTGTGTGCACAGCCCACACACAGGTGAACTTCAATCCTGGGCAGCTGGAGAGAAGGAAGAGGGCGGAGCTGCAATACCTGAGTGCAGCCTGTGTTTACAGAGGTGCCAGTAAAGGCACTGCTCTCTCCCCAGCCTGATTTATGGCTGGCCGTATCTTTATTGTTTGTATCATGTGTAGGTGTACACACCGACATTTTGTACTGTTATGGGCTTGCGGATACAGAATCACAGGAGCCTTGAATCCTTTAGATCGGGAAGGGAGAAAGTCCTCCAGGACCCAAAGGACATCAGATTCTGCTACCACAAAGTGAAGAATAACCACATGGGCGCTGGCAAAAAAAAACCTCCCATGGATTTTTTTTTTTAGTTCGTCTAAAACTTTTATCTATTTTCATATACACCTGAGAAACCTGAGTGGCAGTTTAGATTGATTTAGATATCTAGAATACACACAGAGTAAAAGAAATTGTTTCATTCAAATACCAGTATTGTTATGTAGCCTGGCTATGACAGAACAAGAACAAAACGTTGATGACTCCATAGATACTTTATCATGAAACAGCTAAAATTCACCAAAGCTATGAATACTGATTTAAATATTTCTGTATCAAAGTTATTTCTCCTTCAAAACAGTCTTTAAATATCTTCCCAACATAAGAATACATACAGAAGTCATCTTTTTTTTAAATCAGCAGGTATGTAGGCACTGCATTTGGTTTAGAAAATAGTCCGTCATTTTTTTTTAATCAACCACATCGAAATATAAAGCAATCATTAATGGTTTCCTTATATTTTCTGTATCTTATGTGATGCTAAGGATTTTATTCTACATACACTTGAGTATGCATACATGCATCTGCATGTACCAATATCCCTTCTGTATCTAATTTTTGTATATAATGATTTAGATAAATCTAGGTAACTTTATTAAGGTGATTAAGATGAGGCCTGATTATATCTCTCAAATCACTGAGAGGGAAAAAAAAAAAACAACAAACCACCAACAAATGAAAAATTAAGAGTTCCAGCTCCTTTAACACAGTTTCTAAACCATTTCAGTGATGGCCTGTGACAGACTTTTATAAGCACTTCTTACAAGCACAGAGCTACCGCTTGGCAACTACTGTATTTAAATAAATAAATTTAAAAACCCTACTCTGAGTATTGTGGCATTACGTATTTTTGGTGGATGGCCACAAAAAGCGTGGGAGATCAACTGTAAAGATTTCCAAAAGGGACAAATCAACAGCAGCTAGCCCAATAGCATAAAAATCCTGCCAGGGATCCTCTGAACAGATGGACTGTGAACACCACCTGCAAAATTCCAAATGACTGACTTCCAACCAGAAAGACCCAGCTCACACCTACACTGGTTTTACAACTAATACGTTTCTAGAGGTCACAAGACTTGATTTTGGAAAACTGACTTCTTCCTGGATGCTAAGAGGATGCCCCACTTGACGACAAGACTAAGATCTCTGTACAAGACCACAAGCCTTGAATTTGGAAAAGGGAAGGAATTCATGTCCAAAGACACAAGCCTCTGAGTACCCTCCTAACTTTCAAATTCCTTTTTTCGGCATGATGTGACAATCTCTCTAGCAATAGTTTTAGCCAATCGTGATCCTTTTAGTTGCTCCACTTGAGGGCCTGTCTGAAAACAGTAGTGCACAAAGGTGTCTGAACGGAAAGAGATCCTCTGAACATGGCTCATGCAGTAGAACTCCACGCCAACACCACACCATGTGATCAAACTAACTTCAGAACTGAAAGGTCTCTAGTTATGTTCAGCTTTCTGCACCAAAACTAATAAATTCCAAGCAGCAGGATGTGTTCACACCAGAGATTATCATGACTCAACAAATCAACAACCAACTACATCAACTCTAGCTAAACTGACAAGGCTGAAAAATTTTAATCATATTCCAGAAGATTAGTCTGATTTTGCAAAGTGCACAAGACTTGACTACACATGTGTCACAAGCAATACTTTGGACTGCAAAGTCCCTCAATTTTCCCAGTGTTTCAGGAAGGAAATACACTGTATTTGGCACAGAGCACACTGTATTAATACAACAGCTACACAGTCAGCATCAGTCTGTTCCCTGATCTGTTCCACTGCTTCTCATCATCCTACTTATAGCTCTTCAGATCTGCTTCTCTTCCTGCATCATCCCGTAAGGTGACCCAGAGAGTCAAAGATACATTATGGCCTCTTATCACCAAACAGCCATAATTTTGCCATGATGATTCAAGAATCTTGCCCGAACAGTGCTGGAAGAGACAAGTGAAAGAGTAAGAAGAAGAAATCCCATGGGTGCTAGTGTCAGTAGATACGTGAAGCAGGATGCTATATTAGAAAGTAAGTGCTCAAAGTGCTCAATTTCCCGATTAAAAAAATAATCATCTATAAAGTTTATTCTAATTAAGTTCAAATTTTTTTTTTTATGCATAAACTCAGGGAAGGAGGAGTGTAGTTACAGACTGCACAGCAATGCAAAGGCTTAGAAAAAAAATCATTTTGTACGGAAGATGTTAAGCAACACTTATGGTTATAACATCTCTTATTTCTGCAAGAAAAGCCTTCAGCCTAGAAGGCCTAGTTGAACTTCAGCATAGTTTCTGATTACCTTCGTATCTTCAGTTAAAAGATACGTCTATCCCACTAGAAGAGAAGCAGAGCATTTCCCAGCAAACAGTAAAAGAACTTTCGGCTACAGGTACCTTGTGAAATGTGAAGATTTTATTTTTTTAATATAAACTTAAAATAGAAGGCTTATAATAAATCTCACCTAAAGATGATTCTGGGTTTTACACAATTTATGTCATCTTTCATCCAGATTTTAGAAATTTTAAATAAGCTAAAGAGAAAAGATATTTATTAAACTATGTCATTATTAATACTAGCAACTTCAACAATCTGAAGTTTTATCAAGTCATATAACAATAGTTAAGAAAACAGAACAAAACTATAAATATGTTTACAGATGTCTGACAGTCCTGCTTAATTCCTTTCAGATAAAAATAATGTATCGTACTGTAATAAATATAATGCAGTATATTTGTCAGTTGGAATAATCAAGATCTAGTCCGTTGCCTTAAGGTCACTTGTTTATTAGATTTCATAGAAAAAAAAAAGAAAAAACAAAAACCAAAAAAAACCCCAAAACACCCAGCATATGGACAACTGATTTTATAACTCTATATGGAACAAAGAGGCTTTTTTGCCTCTGACAAATCTGAATTGAGTTCATCCTTCTTTTTGTAGTAACAGTACGAAGGAATAGGATTGGAACTACAGATATCCTCCACCACCTACCAAGTTATCTGCTTATATGGAATGGGACAAACTCCACCGCAATACAAGGCGTCAGGGCTAGTAACATCAGACACGCAAACGTCAATAAAAGATTCCAGGGCGAATTCTTACAACTACCCAAAGGAGACGAGGGCTTGAGACATCAGAGCATGTGTGTACTTGGAAGAAATGCCACGTTTCTGCAGCCATACATTGTCTTACCAATGTATATCAAATTTCGTACAGTCGATTCATTCATTAGTGACATTTTCTTTCACTGTGACATTTTGTACATGTGTAAACAATTATTTCACTACTGCCACAATATGTTTCTTCCTCTCTGACACAAATGGCATAGATCCTGGTTTGCTGTGCTTACGACGATTCAGTTCCCTAGAGGGAAAAAAAAACCAAACAAAAACAAAACCAGAAAAATGAAGTTCAGTAGTCATCACAAAGATTTAACAAATACTAGCTTCCTCCTTAAGTTACTAAGGGAGATATTTTACAATTAAAAAAAAAGTTAGAATTGCTCTGCTTTAATTAATCAAAAGCCATGTACTTCTTCCTTTGAGCAGGACTGTCCCTTTGAAAAATAACTTTAAAACTGGCTAATTTAGAAAAGTTGCAAATCAAGCCTTTTCTTGGAAGCTCCATCTATGTGGTTTTCATGTCAACAGGATTTGCTGCTCAAGTTTGTAGTCTTTCAGCTGAGAAAGATAACTAAAACCCACCGCTTTTTGGCTTTACTGTTAATTTAACAGCTACAGCAAAGCGTGACACCTTCTGCTCCTAGAAATTCCAATATGACAATGAACCAGGTGACTGAAAACACTCATCCTGGAGCCTGACATTTGAAAAAAAACAACAACAAAAAACCAAAAACCACATCAACCTCTCTCCACCGCTCCCGCCCCCCCCCAAAAAAAAACCCTTTTCATACTCAAAACAGGCCATTCTGTTGCCACTGCAACGTTGCATTGTATCATACTTAAAGCATTGTGGCTTCTTCTGACATGTATTTGCTCCCATTTCTTCAGTGAAAGTTTGGGAAGCAGCCAGTCCTTACTGACACTGGCACCTATCTGCATTTTCCTTATAATCAAAGGTTAATCAATCCAGTAGTTCGTGATCACTTATTGAGATGTTAAGAGTAGCTCACACTTGTTCCTCCCACCCACTGTAGCTCTATCGTTCCCATACACTGCTGCTGCAGCACAGCACTGATGCATTCTAAGATCAAGAGAAAACAAAGCCAGAAGAGGCAGACATACTTTCGCCGACGAGCTTCTCTCATGATGCGTTGCTCCTTGATTTGGCAAAATATACTTTTAGGCAAGTGACGGTGTTGAGCTATGCGTCTGATCTTTGGGTGATACTGGAACTTCTCCTTCAGCTTCTGATTGTAATTCATAGCTGCCTTCTCTCGGGGTGCAAGCTATGGGGAAAACAGACAAACATGTTAAAAAAGAACATGTTAAAAAGAACTTGACTTTCTGAACAAAATAAAATTTTAACTTTGAATTCAAATGGCTTCCTTCTAGCAAATCGTTGTAACCACAGAAACTTCAGCATTAGAGTAGGTAAGTATTAAAAACCTACAATTTCAACAACACCCCAATGCTCAAACAGAAAACATTATCACAGGTTTTCAAAGTTCAGTGAAGTAACCAAATTTGCTCCTTAAAAACCAGATTTTAATGTGCTGTAGGGTTAACTTTGAATTCAAATGGCTTCCTTCTAGCAAATCGTTGTAACCACAGAAACTTCAGCATTAGAGTAGGTAAGTATTAAAAACCTACAATTTCAACAACACCCCAATGCTCAAACAGAAAACATTATCACAGGTTTTCAAAGTTCAGTGAAGTAACCAAATTTGCTCCTTAAAAACCAGATTTTAATGTGCTGTAGGGAAGATCAGAGTCTGCCTGCTTACCTGACCTCCACTGATGACCAACTTTTGCAGGCACTTTAAATCACGAGCCAGTGCAAGTACAACGGCTATAAATGAATTGTCTTCATGAACAGCTTTACAGACAGGTCTTTAGGTGGCCTAAATCTTACCCAGCCCCTTGATCCATTAGGAAGCACAGTGTACATACCAGATTTCAAGCTTGACTACATGGCACCCAGAGAGTTACAACTTTCATAACGCAACTAAAAATATCTTATTATCACAAACACATAAAATACAGGTGAGCTAGTATGACCGCAAAAGACTTTTATTTTATCCATGTTTAAAATTATGTCTGAGCCACCATTAACACCACCAAAAGCAAGAAATGCCTCTTCCTGACAGCTAACCTACAGAGGATATATATTTTTTTTTTCAACTAGGCATGTTTCCTTTGGTCCTAATGCTTATTTATCAAAAGGGGCGGGGGGGGGGGGGGGATGAGAATCTGTGTGCTGTGGCTTTGTTTAAGGCATGCACTGCTTCACAAGGAATATCAGTTTCTATGTATTTTGGATTTGCTCAGATCTCTGGGAATTTCAGCTACATTTCAGTCTAGTGAGCTTTCGTATAAACAGAAAATCTGTTCATCTTCAATATTTACAGAGAATAATCCTATCCTCTTCTTCCTACCCTCCCTCCCAAAACACACTCTATAACTCCAATATTTCAGACATCTAAAACTCCTTCATACTCTCAAACAAGCAGTGGCACAAGTCTTTTGCCCTCCTACATTTGTTTCATCCACTACTGCTCGCAACTGAAGTATTAAAAGCAAAACAATAGTTCAGCTTCTACGTATTCAGCTTTGCAACCAACTCAGTTTCACTAATTTCTTACTTTACTAAGAAAGAGAACCTGAATTTCAGACACTAACGAAGAAAAAAGCAAAGCAGTAACAAAAGCAGCAACTTTATTATACAGAAAAAAATTTGGAAATCCCATCTACATTATTAAGAAACATGCTTTTTTTCCCCCCTTTGAAATCAGCGATCAGCTATTTCTTCTCCACTCTGGAGGTCACTTTTAGAATTGACTTCTTTTAGAATAATTCTTAACTTCTGAAAAACTAAATATCATACTCAGATAATTTTGGTCCAAAATACCATTAGCAGTCTGAAAGCAAGTATTAATTAAACATACAGCAAAGGAATTTCTCCTTTGGGACAATAAAGAAACCAGGTACCAGATGCAGAGTTGCTCATCACCCAGAAAATTCTTATTCAGGCATGAGACACACTCTTAACCTTTGTTCCTCCACACCCTCTTATTCTTAAAAACAAATCCTTCTGCTTTACTTAGATTTATCATGACCTCTCAAATTGCAAGTGAGTAAATTTTACAACCTTAACCCACTAAAACTAATACACACACACCCCCTGCCCTTTATTGAAATTCATTCTAGTGAGGCAGCCTGAATAGCTGGTTCACTCTCAATAAATCCCAGGTGTTCCCACTCTGCAGAAAACTGCCAACATAATCCAAATTAAAGAGCTTTTATTTTAATTAAATGCAATGATTTTCCTTTAATTTAAGAAGAGCAAATTGCTGCTGATTTAGTATAACCTTGATGATTCTACAGACAAGAGGTGAATCTGTAAATTAAAGATACATCCAAGATACCTTATTTAAAAAATTAATATAGATTAAGCGGTGGTTATGTTTGAGTCTGATGCCATTTTTATGTATAACGTGGTATATAGAAAGGCACATAGCTGGTGACTTCCCATCCAGCTACTGAATGCCAACGCCCCACATACCAGGCTGTGCTAAGTGCAGCCTCATCTACACAACGCTAGAAGAAAATTTTGCAGTAAGTAATGACAAGTTTCTGAAAGACAGCAGATAGCTAAGAAAGCAAACTGCGATAACGCATGGAATTCCACTCTTGCAAGTCATTTTACAAAGGTCAGCGTGAACAGCTGAAGAGATCAGCATTACTTCCCATTCTGCTTTGAGCTGGAGAAAATGCCGTAAACGCTGCATAATTTAGCAGGATTAGAGATTTCGCTTATAGGGACTAGAACACTCTACAAGACAATAAATTAGGATTCACGTGACATCACGAGTGCAACGCATGCTCAGAGATGACGTATGACCCTTTTTTCTTACATTCCAACAGTGAATGTGCAACTTCCTTCCTACATGAGGGAAATAGAAATTACGTGGCAGAAAGACAGCCGATTTGTCCATTACTGCAGCAGTACTTCACAGCAAATATCTAGAATGAAAAAGGGGGAAAAAAAAGCTCTAAAATGCAACTAAGTTGTCAGCAATAGGAAAACGTGTCCTCGCATAAATTGCCTATGCCCCTCTCCTCCCTCCAGATGATAGAGGCTGGTTATTTTACCCATCTAAGCAGAAGGAAGGTAAGCATTTTTACGGAACACTGTCCGAAGAGCAAAAACTATCTTTAACAAAAAATTCTTCTTTTAAAGAGGGCTGTATTTGTACTGTGCAGTATTTAAAACTCCACACTATTAGACTCCTGTAATTCAGCATGAGAATATGAAATGGCTGTTTATCTATCCTGTCCAGGTTGCCCTTCTACGTTAGCACAGATGCAACACATTTTCAGAATACAAACTTATCCCAGCAATTTTCTACACCATAGCTTTTCTTTAATTTTTTCCATTGCTCTGCTGAAAACACCTTTCTAAATTTATTGTCATAAAGCTTATTACTCATTGTTTCCTCAGATCAAAAACCTATGGCTTCTTTACATCTAAATGGATGACAATAAAAAAAGGCAATGTAGATGTTAAGAGCACAAAACAATAGCTAAAGGGATGAAGCTACATGTGCATTGAATCACAAACCCAAAATCACTATGAAAAGAACGCCAAGTCACACAATATCTGGTACTGCTTGTTATCAACCTTATCTCACAAAATGGAACTATGTACTAGAAGTAGACTGAAAGAATATACAATTACTCAAGACAGTTTTGATGTGCTCCTGCTAATGCACTTTGCTAGATCAAAGCCAAGACTTGTATTTGCACTTTCTCCCATCTTTTTCAGTCCTTACTTAAAAGCTGTTATCTCTGCATCTTGTAGGAAAGCAGCAAACCTATGCTCCACCACTGTTACACCAACTCCTCACACTAGTTTTACACTTAGTGAAATACAAATAATTTCCAAGCAGAAAGTTTTCTTCTTGAATTGTCCAGTGCTCTGTTATAATTCTTAGCTATTTTGGAAATGTAACAGAGCCAAATTTTGCAGCTGTTACTCACAGAAGTAATGTTACTACGGACTTACACTCTAAGAACCGCAGGTGTACACTTTTTTTCTAATGTGTCAATGGATTGAAGAACAGTAGAGATTTTTGACGTTTTAGTGATGGTTCATTGCTTTCACTACCATTCAAAAAACCCAATCTATCCCTCTCTTTGTGTTAATTAGATTAATTCTATTTTATTAACTGAAAACCTATTCTATTACTGCTGCTTTTCCAGCTTTTTCCACTCAGATGAGGCTCTACTTCCTTCTTTCCCTCCAAAGCCAATGTCATTTACCTTTTCAGAAATCCCAAACCTCTCCAAGAGCACAGGTACAAAAGCCTCAAGCATACTTTACACATCAAATTTTATGTACAGTATTTGAACAGTCTGAAGTATCCTGAAAGTCTTGTTTAATTGGGTCTTTTGCTTCTGGACTTGCAGAGTAGATGGTTTCTGCTTTAAAAATACAATCTGCTAGTCCTAGTTAATAATAATTATTTATTATTTTATCAATTTTTATTAAAAAGCCTAAACACTACAAATTATTTTAAAGTAACTTCTGCAGTAGCTCCAACAGAGAAATTTGGGGGTTGTGACCCCTATGTAAAACCCAAACAGATTAAATTGTCAGTGGAGTGGAGACACAGCATGCCTCTGGCTCCTCCAGAGACTTTTATTCTTACTTTAATGTTTCACTGATTTTAAATAATGAGTGCAATGCCAAATAGATTAAAAAACAAAAGAAACATGCATGTCAGAACTGATGACTGCTAGGGTAGCCACAGTTCAGAAAGTTTAACCTTCCAACTGGATGAACGTTTATCAGTCACAACATAAGTACTATATATTTACTATAACTTCCTTGGAATCCAGCAATGCTAAAAACAAGTAAGAATAAGTACTTACCAAAGAAAAAAATGTTTTATTGCCATTTTTCTTTGTCTTTCAGGATGCTGGTTTCCATCCACCCCCACCCCAAAAATATCCACCTTAAAGTATAAAGTATTACAAGAAGTTAGCATTGTATCAGAAATAGTGACCTCTGGATGAGTCATTCAATCAAATCTTCCCAGTGAAGAAAAAAAGCAGACCAAGCAACTGAGCATTTAAGACATATTCTGACACTTCCACCAGAATTACTGACTGTTCAGCTTTGAATATTTAAAATGTTCAAAAAATAGCCACAGACTATGGAAGAACTGGACATTTATAAAACGAGCAAGCATATGTCTACGAAGATAAGAACACCAATCCTCTAAAAAAGAAGGAGCAGGTAGAAAAGAAAAACAGCGGAACCTGATAAATAGCCATTACCAGTCGTAACATTAAGAATCACAGGAAATACCAGGTTGGATCGGACGAGGATTGGTAGAGTTGCCTGAATCCAAGCAACACTTCCAAGGTATGTGTAAGAACATGGTAAATCATAAAGATTCCACTCTTAAATTCTATTAGCAACAACTACTCTCTAGACATAGCTGAAAAATAAAATTTCATAGTGCTTCTAAAAAAAAAATAACCTTAACTATAGTAGCTTCAAACAGTTACTAATTTAATGTCCAAATACTATGTCTTGCAAAATTCAAGGCTTCAACAGCGTCATGCTCAAACACATTTCCACATAAGATATGAGGATGTGAAACACTCTTCTTATTATAACATAATTTTTTACAAGTTTATTAGCATCATCCATGTGAAATGAGAGCAGATTTTCTACATAATTCACTATGTTCCTTGTAAGTTGTTCCTATATTTCTAAATTATTTTGCTTTCTTAAGATATCTTTTGATGCTGCAAGGTGGGTTTTTTAAGATAGGATGACAAGTTGTGTATTCTAAATAATGGGATGACTTTCATTTCTGATAGCAAAATAAAAAAAAAAAACCCACAACCAAACAAACAAAAATCCACAAGGAAACAAAAAAAATAAAAAACCCCACATTCCACCTGACCTGTGTGTTATAGACAGCCATTGACTTAGTTGTCTTGGGAGCTGAGAGCCAAAGAGCTTTGTCAGGAATGCTTACAAATCCTCACATGCACACATCCTACAAAAGCTGTATTTGTATGATCCCACAACAGTAGAAGTGAATCGTGCACACAGCCTCCAAGACACGTGTCAAGCAGCAGTGCTGCACTTACAAACAGAGAAAAGCAGTCAGGCTATTTTATGTAGGATTCACTGTCGGGTCAAGGAAAACAACAGCATTAATGTGCAGACCATATCCAATACCTGATAGTCATAACTGGCAGTGCCTATATTAGGCCCACCATGGCCAGTTTTCACTGATGCAAACGCAACAGAAAACAGCAGAATGTCATTTAGTGCTCTATGTTTTGAATATTTAAACAATAGCTAAGTTGTCCTTTTGGACAGGAGGATGCAGGAGTAGTTCAGTTTGCCTCTTCCTTTACAGAGCCAAGTATCCTTACTCTTTCATAAGAAAAGGAGCCAATGCCATCTAGTAGTTAATAGAGTGAATTTTCTGTTCACATCTGAAAATATTAGGAATCGTTCTATATGAAAACGGTATTTTTGACATTCTTTTTACCCACTTGTCTTTCATGAAAAAGGTACAGAATAAAGTAGCATATAAAAAATACAAGACAATTCTGTTGTAGAACATCATCTTAGAGAAAGACAGCATACTCCTGCACCAAGTAAGAATATAGTGAATAAAGAGTTCCAACTAATACTGTAAAACCAGGTGAAAAGGGCATTACCATGACTATATGGATACAACAGCAAGAAAACTGGTAGTATTTCCAACCAATACCACACTGTCTAAGCAAATTCAACACAGAAGTTAAATCAAAAAGTAAAGCCTATACTGAGCTTTGTGCAGTGCTTATAATCAGCAAGTATGGGACTGATAATTAAATGCAAAACATTTGACTGAAGCACTACATGGGAAAATCCCAAGAATCAGTTCAGAACAGGAAAAAAAAAAGAAGAATCAGAGTCATAGAATAGCTTGGGTTGGAAGAGACCGTTAAAAGCCATCTAGTCCACCTACCCTGCAGTGAGCAGTGACATCTTCAACTAGATCAGGTTGCTCAGAGCTCTGTCCAACCTGACCTTGAATGTTTCCAGGGATGGGGCATCTGTCACCTGTCTGGGCAACCTGTTCCAGTGTTTCACCACTCATTGTAAAAAATTTCTTCCTTATATCTAATCTAAATCTCCCCTTTTTCAGTTCAAAGCCATTACCCCTTCTATCACCACATGCCCTTGTAAAAAGTCCCTCTCCAGCCCCCTTCAGGTACTGGAAGGCTGCTAGAAGGCCTCCTTGGACCCTTCTACAGGCTGAACCACCCCAACTCTCTCAGCCTGTCCTCTGATCATTTTTGTGGCCCTCCTCTGGACCTGCTCTAACAGGTCCATGTTATAGCATCCTCAACAAAAATGAGTTATTCCATTAAAGAAATTCAACTTCAGTAGTAGTTTGTAACCACAAATGCTGTACATGCTACAACAATATTATTTTTTTTAAAAAAAATCTATAGCTACAATTCAAACATGAGAAAAATAATAGTACTTTCAAATACCTATGGTGGACCATGGCTAAAGATATAGATGTTGTTTTAGCTGTGCTACTCCTTATCCAGTGCCTCAGTGCACAACAGTCCATGTTGTGCTTCCACATTGAAGCCCTAAGTACTCCTACCATTCCTGTTCACTTGCCACCTCGCCCAGTTCCACTCCACCTCCCTCCTACACCGATAGCATCACTTGACAGACCTTCAAGTAACCACAGGCAGCCGCAGATGCAGCTATGCAATAGATCCACTCCCTTAACTGTACAATATTCTTCCCTGAATTACAGCTTCCCGCTCCTCCCCGCTCAGTCTTTCATGAGATCAAGTAGAAATTCCCCCAAGCAGTACCTGACAGCTATGCTGATGGGCTCAGAAAAAGCAACGTAAACACCTCCAAAATACCGTAACAATACAAAGCTACATAAAGGGATTACTCCCAGTGGACAAAGCATCGAATTAATTCTCTAAAGTCATTCAATACTTTATACAACTCTGCAGACGAATATATGCAAGTGGTAACTGTAAAAGAACATTTGGGCTTTGTCTATACACAAACATTTGAGCAACTGTACCTGGGAAGACATGTATCTAATTAGGCCAATGTCTGCTCCTACTAGGAGCACTTCAACCAAACTGACTTACGTTGGATTAAATGGACTTCAGACACCACACCAGTCTGCCCACTTGACATGTGAGAGTTATACAGGTTAATGACAATCTCAGTTCTACATCGGTGCAAGCGGTCTGTTTTACAATGCCTACCCTTAGTACAGTATGAACGGCACATGGACCAGTCACATGTGAGACAGTTTCAGAACTAGTAACCCTAAGCTTCAGTAGGATTACTTATGTGTGGCAAACCAGAATTTATTGCTTTTTCTCTAGTGTAAAGGGATGAAGTCTCACTTGTAGAACCCAGTAAAAAACTAATCTATTTTAGTTAGAACTGATGATTGTTAACATTAAACAAGGCCCAAAAAAAAAGCCACCTTGTGCAGTAATAACAAGGCATGGCATATTATTACTATCAGCTGCAGTAAATGCCGTGAGCTGTACTGCGCATATCAGTTTTCAAATTAAATACAAATGTCAAACTGCGATTTTAGATTTTCCCTTTAGAAACAAGTTTTTAGAAGTTGAATAGGCTAACCAGTTTTAATAACAAAAACCCCAAACATTTTGTCTTCTAATAAGAAAAAACAAATGCAACTCTTACCACTCCCAGTTTTTCAGAGGCATTGGCCTTCCACAGACGAATATTCATCTCATCTGAGCCACACAGAATATATTTGTTATCTGACGTCCATTTTACAGTGATGACGTGCTGCATTCGCTTTGTATGATATACCTCCCTAAAGCAAAGAGAAATATTTTTAAACAATCTATCATCACTTTTCCCACCAACATTACCCTTCAAATAGCAGAAAACATTCTGTTCAAGGCAAAACATATTGTTTTAGATTTTGTTGTTACTTTTATAAAAAAAAGACTTTTTTAAACACTGTGCTGATCTTAAATCTATATACAGAGAGATTCAAATAAAGTATGATGGTTAGACTGATAAAGGGCCACCTAAGTTAAGATGCCTTTTAAATAAGAGTTTTCACAGAAATTACAGTAAATAGCTAAATAACTCTTTTTGCAAAACATGCCATGGGTGTACAATATGATACTCATACTATTTCTAAAATAATTTTCATTAATATGCTGTTATGCTCAATCAAGCATTACAGAATGGGGCTGCAGAAGAATAAGTGCCAAAGAATATGACACCACCATCATGAACAAGAAAGAGAATAGCAAATAAACACCTCCAAGTGTCCATTTATGACATGGCAATGGATTGGCTACTCTTCATTGTGATTTTCCTCCTTCCTCAAAACCAGACTTCCTTATCATTGCCTAAAGGACTCCTAGGAAAATTTTAAAACCCTAAAAACTCGAAGAAAAGTCTCCAGTCTTGCAAACAAGAACTCAACAAGAAATATCAGCTAGTCAAAAAGGATTCAGAACAGCTGTGTGGCTATTAAAGCATAAACCTGCGGCAAAGTTTTGGTAGCAAGAGGGCTACAGGGGTGGCTTCTGTGAGAAGCTGCTAGAAGCTTTCCCTATGTCCGACAGAGCCAATGCCAGCCAGCTCCAAGATGGACCCACCACTAGCCAAGGCTGAGCCCCATCAGCAACGGTGGTAGTACCTCTGGGATAATATAGTTAAGAAGGGGCAGAGGTGGAATCAGCAATGGCAGCCAAAGAGAGGAGGGAGGGGATGTGAGAGAAACAACCCTGCAGACACCCAGGTCAGTGAAGAAGGAGGAGGAGGAGGTGCTCCAGATGCCAGAGCAGAGATTCCCCAGCAGCACCTGGTGAAGACCATGGTGAGGTAGACTGTCCCCCTGCAGCCCATGGAGGTCCACAATGGAGCAGAGATCCACCTGCAGCCTGTGGAGGACCCCACACTGGAGCAGGTGAATGCCCAAAGGAGGCTGTGGCCACACTGGAAGCCCACGCTGGAGCAGGCCCTTGGCAGGACCTGTGGACTCATGGAGAGAGAAGGTCAGGCTGGAGCAGTCTGTTCCTAAAGGACCTGCACCCCATAGGAGGGGATCAGTTCATAAGAACTGCAGCCCATGGGAAGGGCTCACTTTGGAGAAGTTCACAGAGAACTGTCTCCTTTGAGAGGGACCCCACGCTGCAGCAGGGGAAGGGTGTGAGAAGTCCTCCCCCCAAGGACAAAGGAGCAGCAGAAACATGTAACTGACTGCAAATCCCATTCCCTGTGCCACTGAAGGAAAGGAGGTAGAGAATTCAGGAGTAAAGTTAAGCCTGGGAAGAAGGGAGGGGTGGAGGGAAGGTGTTTTAAGATTTATTTTCTCATTACTCTACTCTGATCTGATTTGAAATAAATTCAATTAATTTTTCCCAAGTCGAGTCTGTTTTGCCTGTGACAGTATTTGCTGAGTAATCTCTCCACCCTTATCTCAACTCACGAGCATTTTCTTATATTTCCTCTCCCCTGTCCAGCTGAGGAGGAGGAGTAATAAGAGCGACTTTGGTGGGCACCTGGTGTCCAGCCAGGGTCAACCCAGCACGACTACATTTCATTTCTGCCAATCAGACTCTTGCTTAACAAGTGCTGGCACCTGTTGAAAAATGTTACATTTAAAACAATTTTTAAGTGAAACTCTTATCTAATTTTCATTAAGTATGTACCAAACAAGCAGAACAATATTATTCATAAAGTCATTAATTTAATTCTACTATAAAAATTTAGGACTAAGTACACTTTTCTTCTAATTTTAGTTATTTATCAGCATTATAAAAGATAAAGAATAAGTAAGCCCTACTTACTGTCCACTAGCACCCACTCCTTTGGTCTATAAGCTGCAGTGCATGAGATATATAGCATTCTCTTTTACCCAGTTATTTTTACAAATAAAATCCAAGTAGTAATGGAAAGGAAATACAGAAACAACACCTATTCAAGAGCTATGGAAAAACTAGACTGAGGCTGAGCTGGAGAGGCTCTGAGAAAAGCAAAAGCAATCAATATATCACCTTAAATAAGATTTAATAAGCTCAACCACCTCTTGAAATTCACACTCAAGTGATGCTCTACAAGAACAACCATGTGGAAGGCCAAGTACAAGTACCTTCAGAAAACATTAATACTCACATCAGCTCTTTACTGATGTTGATGTTCAAAGGTGTGTGCACATACACATTTTCATAAGCATTCCTATGTGTCGGGGGAGTTTCTGGCTGCTACATGGGCTAAACAGAAAGCACCTGTGCCTCATCAAGACAGGTGCTGAGTCACGTTGGTCAGCTGGAGACCACGTGACCCATGGAGGCTTAAAGGCAGAGCACTCCCAAGAGGGAGTGGGGCAGTTCCCTCCTGGAGACTGGAGTGGTAGGAGCCCCTGGAGAGCAGTGTCTTGAAGCTCTCTGTTAGAAGCCTTTGATTGCGGTATAGACCTTTGGAGTGAAACAAGACCTTCCGATATACGAGGGGAATCACAACAACCTTCTGGGTTGTGATTCCTGAAGAACGTGAGACCAGCGGTCTGCGACAACCAGTGACCTGCGACACCTATGTTTACTTTCATTTTACTATTTGGCTCAATAACAAAGCTTTTCTTCACTCACCTTTGGGGAACTAAGTACTTTTCCCTTCCTTACTCTGAATTTTCAGCCTTTTCTTCTGTTGTTGCTATCATGACAGGTTATTAAACATCATTCCCAAGGAAAGGAAAAACATAACCTGGATCTGTCCTTTAAACAATTCACACAGACATCCAGTTCTGTTTACCAATAATTTACCAATTTTATCAACTTCATAATAAATCTTGTTTCTTATGGCCAATTTCCTAATTTAAATGTTCATTTTAAAGTAAAATAGAAAGCAATGAAGTTAGGAGTTTTTCAGATTGGCAAGAGATCAAAAGCCAAAACTGGGTGCAGATACTCTTAACAGCCCTCTCAGTTTTCTGAGAGGGATCAGATCTTCCATTTGGAGGCTTTTCTTCTTTCCATGGGATTAATTTCAACTGTGCAATTCTGAAGAAGCCCAGCTTCTAAGCAATTTTAAGTGTCCCAAAATGCCCCAGTCAGCTTGCATGAGGCTAAGTTCTTCATTTGTAAGGCTCTTCTTCACTAGATTTACGTTCACTGTCTTAGATGGGGAAAAAAGGGGGGACAAAGAAAACTCCTTCCACAGGCCTTGGCAAGAGTTTGCTATAATGTGGAATAAAGCCTTTTGCTTTATTTTTATGCTGTTGCATTATGGGATCTGCAAATTTCCCCTCAATTATGTGTTTCCACTTTGCGAATCACCACTTTTGTGAATATTACTATTCCATAAGAAGGAAAATCTGTAGAACACAAAAGCTTAATAATATAGAATTAAAAAAAATAAAATAAAACCACAAAGGAACTGCAATACCAAATTACATTCAAAATATTATTGCAAGACAGGAAGAAAATGAAAATTATCTGTATATTAGTTATAAAGGAAAATGTAAACAGTCCCTCTCAATCTTTAATGCAGTGTAAGAGAATACGAAGTTACACTGAGTAATGCATACATAGCTGCATCAATCAATAATAAAAATATACTCCTTCTCCAATCAATATTTCAACATTTTCACCCCGCAAACCACCCAGAATTTGACTCAGTAGCAACTTTTTGGGAGGCTGAGGTTGGAGAGAGGAAGGCAACTAGATGTAAAATAAAGTTAAGAATAAAGAAAAAAGAGGAAGCATTGACAACAGAGAATAATGAAGGTGGGTTTATGAAGAACAAATGATACCAGACAGATCTGATAACTTGCTTTTCATCAAACTAAAAAGAAAAAACAGAGACACAGGAGATCCAATCTGAACTTTAGCACAACATTTAATACACTGCCTTATGAAATCTTACAAGAAAAACTAATTCAAAGTGAACCATATTCAGAGCATTGTCACATGAATCAAAACCTGGTTAACGAAATATGAACAAAACATAAAAAGCATACTGAAACAGATCACAACAGTGTCCCAAATTGATCCCCAGGAATTCATACAACAATGCTTTTCATGTAAAATCTTTAGCAACCACCCATATAGGATGGAGACAGTCCCTGGAAAACCAAATGCTACAATGTTGTAAGGCACTGCAAACTTAAGTGGTGAGAAATACAGCACAAAGTGAACTCAAAACATTAAAGACACACATAGAGGGGAAAAAAAGATGGGATTCATCTTGGTAAAATACATTTGAGTACACCCAAGAACAATAATCCACTGTAATTTTAATTCAAAACTGCTTAAACACTGTTATCTGTTAAGTAGAAGTTCTACTCTAATACATACTTCAGAACTATCTGTCAACTACACAACCTCTCAATCTCAAATTATACACAAAAGAAGATTTCAATATTCACAGAAAGTGAATGTATCAGTGAAGATGCTCATGAACTAAGAATTTTGAGGACTAGGGAGGGAGGTCACTGTAATGAATGAAAGCAAGAGAGAAAGGAGCAAAATCACTCACCTGCTGTGACCTTTGTCTACAGGAAAAATGCGGATAGACTTGTCAAAGCTGGCAGAGACAAATTCTTTCCCAGTGGGTGAATAATCCACATCAAGAACTGCAGACACGTGATCCATATGTACCATTACAGGTGATTCAAGATAGCGCATATCAAAAGTATATAAGCTTTAAAATAAATACAACAGCTTAATATATCTTAACAGCTCCTAAGTAAATAGTACGTTTTTGCTGAACAACTACTTTGATCATACAGAAACCATATTTAAGGATAGATCCATATTGCAGAGGGAACTCTTCAAACTGCTCATAACACATGAAAAGAACTAATGGTGCATTCTTTAACAAGTTTGTTAACCAGAGGCTGCAGTTTTCAGATCAGACCTAGGTTTCTGGCTCACTGTCAAAGAACAGATAGTCTCCGCTATTCTCTTCATCTTATGTTCATGGGTCTCTGACCACACCTATTTCTCCAGCTCCACTTCTGTAAAGTTCCCATTTGGCTGGCACCCTTTCCTACTGCCTAATTGTCTTTAGCACAGACAAAGTAGGAGTCCATGGAAGCTACTGAAGGATCCTTCAATAGGATGGAGATCCTAGTTCAGCAGAGCTCACTACCTATAGAAAGGCATGACATTAAAAATAAACGCACACATGCTGGACCTCAGCTGGTTTGCTCTTAAGCACTTCAGAGCTCAGGTAAGGTCTACCTGTACTCCCTTTGAACTAACAAGCCCACTGATACATAGCAAGGCATAATAACTGAGCAGATCATTAATTCACCTAGTGCCAATAAGCACAGGTGCTTTACAGACAAAGCATTTAATGAATGAAGATATACTATTTAGTAGAACTACTATATTAAAAACTTGTAATTTAGCAGGTTTCTCACCCTCCTTGCTGCAGATGAATGCATTACTGGGTTTAATTCAATGTCTCTTATTCAACAGTTTACTGGCAACTACTGCTTTTTCCTTCTAAATTCCCCAAGAGAAAGCATGCTAGCATCATGTTCAAAACCGCTACTCTATATACTTGCATGTGCGTCACTGGTACACGCACTTGCCATTGCTCTTATACTAATTGCTTTAGTATAAACAAACAGATTTGGTAGCCTTACCATACCATAACAAAACAGATGAAAAGCAGTACATTAAATACAACATCTACATTCAAGGCCTGGGCCAGATTCTATTTCCTTGGAAAAATAACTCCAAGATAAGTGATAAAAATCCTACGTTCTAGAAGAAAACAGTCATCTACTGTTAGATCACTGACTTCCTGGAAAAAAGGATATGAAGCACATTTTGCAGTGCTCTAGTTTTGAAGAGACAGCTTTTTCAATATCAGATTAGCTGTTCACAGGAACAGTATTGTTCAAAGGTAAAAAACTGCTCTGAGACATTGAAAGGGTAAGTATTGCAGTCTCTGGAACTGTTTCACAAAAGATCAATTTTATATTTTTTTGTTTTTTTAAGAAATGTTTTCATCGAAATTGCTGATCAGTACAACATATTCACAAGAGCTGGCCAGAAAATAAACACTTAAATTGCCTCAGATTGGACCAAAAGTATTTATTTTCCAGGTCCCATTGCAAGTTACACTTGCATGGGCTGAGCTGAATTTTATTTTTTTCTAAGTTACACTGCTTTTTTTTCCCCACCAGGTACTGAAATACAAAGAGGCAGTCTACTATCAATTTATTTCTTTTAAAATCAGTAAGCCTATAATTCTCTAGGTTATTACTTAAGTGATTCAAATTTGGAGTTTAAGTATCTTTTAGAATTTTATTTTAGCATGACAATAAATCATGAAGATACAGATTAAAAACATAACATGATCGGGATTATCAAAAAGCAAGGTCACACTTACTTGTAATCTTCATTTGCTGCAGTAAAAACGAAAGCTTCCATGGGGTTCCAACAAAGTGTATTTGTCCTCATGTTCAAGATAACCTGAAGGATATTTACACATTGTTACCGGCACTAAAATACTCGCTGTAGTTCAAAGCTTCCTCTACCACTGGAGACAAGCCCTTTCTTGATATGGAATTATGGCAGAGGAATCATGACATGAGAGAGTGTTTCCTTAGCAGTGCTAGCATTGGAACTCGAGAACTTCCTGTCCCTCATCATACACTCACTGCTTCGTGCTACACGGCAATTAAATTTTCCTCTCTAAAACATCTTAGAAGCAAATTCTTCTAAGTGGTCATTTAACACGTAAACATGTTAGTGGTCAGCACGTAAACCTGGAACTTGTGAAAAATTTCACTTCTCCATCATGTTTACAGGAGCCTTTAGTTAAGTAATCTCTAAACACATCTAACCAAATGGTTATTTCAAGGGATATAGTCATTAATTGACACTGTGAGCCAGCATCTGCAAAGCGATTATAACATTTTGATGTTCTGTCAGTTATTACTATCCCTTCATTATTTTCTCTCTGAAATTGCAGTTTATGAATTCTCCAGGACTGTTGCCATTTCTTGTTAAGGTGCCAAGCAATGCGTGTAGAAGTTACCGTGTTGTAATCTACTCACCACTAACACTGTATTAGCAGTGAATCACTTGCTACACATTCGTAAGATTTGCTTGCTGCGAGTAAGCAGATGGCTACGAAGAGGCCAGTTTGCCTTGAAGTGGGAGGAAGGCAGCTGATGACAGCCTAATACGGCCCTTCGACTTTGGTAACAGTGGATTAGACAGGAGGTATTAAGCAGCGGTGTATCAGATGTCCCCACCTTGGGGGACAGCTGTGGTAGTAACAGCTGGGCCCCTGTGGAAAAAGGGGATGCAGGGAGGTCATCTGACACCCTCTACGACACAACAGCTTTGGCTTCTGCTGAGTCTTGGAGGAGCTTTCAACTACTGTATTTAAAAATAAATCCCGTACAGTATGCCTGACACAAAGTAGATGTATAATTACAGAGCAACTTATTAACAAACTGAACAACTCCAAACAGGATTTTCTACAATGCTGCAGGTCAGCCATGACACTACTTGAAAATCCTGATATTTGGATGTTTAACACTATGGTACTCCAAACTCATTTTTGTTCTCAGCTTACTATACCCTAACACTATAAATTTACATACATAGAACAAAATATAGTCGTACAGTTGTAACTTTTACAATAATGAATACAATAGCAAAGCAAGTTAATAGCGATGACCTCTACTGAACCCACCCCCCCCCCCCAAAAAAAAAAAAGGATTGTGATTTTAGGAGTCTGGGCATATTCTCATGATTCTCATTCTCTGCAAATCCTTATTTCCTAAGTGACATTATCTTCTTCAATATCAAGTCTGCGCTGCAAAACATTGCTTATTTTCACAAATTACATGACCAGGAACTCAGCGGTGCTAGAAGCCAGCGCCCATACATAGGAGAGGTACCTCTAATAAGCAGCAACCTTCTCTTGGGAGTTACAGAGTGCTTAGCTCTCAATGCAGAAACAGACATTCAACCTGCCTGTCCCCAGGGGAATCGTTCCTATTCCAGCAGGAAACCCAGAAGGTACTGTATCCACAGATGCAAAGAAGTATTCATCAGTGTTTTACTCCAATAGCAGGAAATGCACCATGTACTACATGAGATACACATACGTATGTGCGCACATGTGTGTATATGCACATGTATGTACACTTTTATACATTTAGCATACGTATATACATAAAATTCTGTTAGACTCAAATTTAGTTCACAAAGGCTCAAACTACATCCCTTTAACTTGTGACTGCAGATCTCCAGCACTGGCTGTGTTCGCTTCAACATTCAGGTCTCCAGCCAGCATCGCTGACAATTTTTATGAGCACTGTCTCAGTGGCCCAAATGAAACTTCATTAAAAATTTTTGAGGTACAGGGAGAGAAATACTGTTATGCCAACAACACTCCTATTTTATAACTAACTCAAGTACCATTACAGTGTTCTAGTGTATATCACATCGGTGTCATTGCAGACAGTACATAACATACCAGAAGGATACTGAGTGTATATTAACAGGCCAGAATACTGTATTTCAAGAAGAAAATTGTGAAGACAGTTCTGGGGCTCAAAAGTACTGAACTTGATCAAGGTTAATACCTGTGTATGAATTACTGGCTTTTTGTTTAAAATAAATAAATAAATACATTCTATTAAAGATAAATAAGAATCTTCATGTCACTGGTAAATTCCACATATGCATCCAAGTTTGATTCCATTGCAAGGGATTTCTGAACATCTATACTAGGTGCATAAAGGAGAGTTTATCTCCATGCAAAAGAAAAACACCTCTTCAAATGCAGAGCAAGGCTCTCCAATGGTGGAAAGGAAATGCCTTAGAAGTTACCTTGTTTGCTACTGGCAAAGAGGAGAAAAAAAAAATAAATAGAGAAATTAATAAAGGCACACATACACAGATAGTATGCAATATAGAAACATAAAGTTCTTATTGTGAAACTGCTGTCAGGTCAGGTGCTTTATCAAGAATTACAACAGAGTGAGCATGACAGTCCATCTGAATGCAGAAAGGGGCCCTTCTAACTCCGCGCAGTTTAAATCCCAATGTTAATTCAAACTCAGCTAAAAGACTCAAAATTAGACAATAAAAACTCAGTGAACTCACAGTTCAGAGCTTCCCTTTCTCTACCATCATCAACAGTTACAGACTATTTACATATTCAGTATGATTATTAGTGCCATAAGCTTCTGTTAAAAGAAAAAGATTACCTTCTTTAATGGAGTTGATTTTCTCATATCATATAGCACAATATTTCTGTCAGAAGCACAGCTTCCCAAAAGGTAGGTCTAAAAAATGAGAAAGAAAAAAAAAAGACAATCCATGTGTACAGTCTTCTAAACATTTCTGGAGTATAAGCAACAGTTTACATTAGATACCTAAGCTATTTCACAAAGCTGGTAGTCAAATAGTTCCTTTTTCAATTAAGGAAATACATTCATCATTCCTTCTGTGCAGCTAATTATTCAGCACAAACATTTTAAATAGCTTTCCCGGTAAGATTCGGAATCCACCCAGTCCTCTCTACTGCACAAGAGCCAGCAATTCCTCATAAACATTTCATCTACGAACACAGCCCACCCAAGAGGTATATAGCAACTGTTGTATTAGATCAAATACAATTGTTTTGCCATGCAGAGGGGAAGCAGTCTTGGTCACAAGGAGTACAGTACTGGAACAGAAGAGAGCTCCACAGCCACGTAACCACTACATTGTACGACTGAGGTATGGGATATGTACTGCTGCGGGCAGAACAGAAACCACCCTCATTTTTTTCCCCTCTCCCCCACTAACAGAGACAAAAGATAAAAAGATGAAAACATATGGTACCACATTCCAAAGCAACATAGACATAAAAATATATGTATACATCCCCCTAAATGTTACATTAAAACACATATCAAAATCTGAATTTGAAAAAAGCCATTAAAGACGTTGTTAACAGAGTTTAGATCTTAGACTGAAATATTACCTCAATGGGATTAAATTTTACACTGCTTATGCTATCAAAACCCCAAGTCAGAGAACACATGGGACTTGTCCTTTGCTCATCCCAGATGTCCACTTGATGGCCACAGGTGGCAAAAACAGCTTCTTTCCAGTGGTGATCAATTCCTGTATACACTGTCTTTAAAAGGAAAAAAAAAAAAAAAAACACACAAGTATTTACAAAACCAATCATATACATAAATATGCAAGTATGTTCTGTCACAAAAAAAGATCAATAAATCATTGCATATCGTCTGCCATGTTTTTATTCACCGATATTACTGAAAACCAAGTCACCACTGCTATCAGAAACTAAGTCTTATGAGATGTACCCTTACACAATAGACCAGCTTTTTGTGTACCCACTTAATGTGCATGCCTGCATTTCTTGTTAGTTTACAATGGAGTCAGCATTAGAAGTCCATCTACAAAGTCTTGGTTTGCTTTAAAACTGTCATGGTTTGATGTGGAGGGG